TCTTAAGCTTAAACTTTTACCTAGATTTTCAGGCATTTATAGTTTTCATTGCTCTATTCAGCAATACAAAATTACAAAATAAACAAGCGCAAATTGGAGAACTGCCCATTAAAATAAAGTATGGATGGTCACCATAAAGTGTATTGCATCTGCCAATATCTTTGAAGAGTTGATTCCCATATCTATAGTATGGTCAAAGCTCCCCGAGAATAGACTTCCGTAGAAATTGTACTGCGTCCTTTAATTACTGGGTAGTTTTATCAGGAAAAGTATATGAAATGTTCGTAATATTTCAGAGTTCCCAAAACAGAATTTTTAATCACTACATTAGATAACAAGTGTAATTTTCTAACCACTATGCAGTCGAAAGCGGCACCATAGAACTACATAAGAATTCGATTGGAATTTGGTTTGGTGCTGCTTCTTCTTTAATTCACTGTCCATCAACTTGTATATAAAAAGTAAATATGATACATGTAAATATTAAACAATTTTTATTGAAATTGAGGCCGTTTTTTATTATTATTGAGGAAAAAACAACAACAGCTTATAAATCCTAGATGTCATAGCTGCTATTTCACCTTATCAGACTTCTTCATCGAGTTCACTGGGATTCGAACCAGCAACTCTAGCTTACAAAGCATTGTTGGTGCATTTTACACTTTTTCATATGTTAACCCAACTACAATCATGGGTCACTATTCTGCTGCGTTTTAGACGTGATCAGGTGTTTATTGCGGTAGTTGTTTTTGTTTTTTAGTTAATTTTTATTTTAAGTATTTTAACATGAAGGCGTGTACGTCCTTAAATATTTGGGCTTTTTGTTATTTAAATAAAAATTGTTCAGCTAATATGATTTATAAGGATTATAGCACTAAAATGAGTACCAAAAGTTTTAAGTGCGAAAGGGAACACTCAGCCAGAATATAGTATGGAAAAAGGGGGCTTAAATGGAGCATTTTCAAAATTACATTAGAATCTTACTAAATACATTAAAAGTGGGTTAGAGAACTATATACCATTTTCTCGAGTGTAGAATTATATTCCATATAACGCTTCTCGGATATGTTTGCATGTACAGAATCAGAAACATTAGGGCGTATCACGAAGAACGTTTAGTGTACGTCAATTTTATTTGAACACTTACGTCGAGAGAAAATTATGGATGTAAACAATTTTTTTAAGCACCCGATAAAACAACTAAATCTGGAACATAACTGGCTATTAGAAACCGTTTTGATTTATATCTCAATTAATTTTGGAAATACTACCCTTAGTTTTTTATTTTTATACCATACATCTAAGGCCCGCAAAAAATTATGAACACTAAACAATTGTTAGGTTTTATTAACAGGCACTTGGCCGGTTGTAATTCAGTCGGGTTAAATAACAATTGAGCGAGTTTCAGTAAAGTTTAAAGTTTTACTGATGGAGCGATCGCAACTGTAAAAAAAATGTTTTTTGGACCGAAGAATCTGTTCAGCAACAAGGTTCCAACAAAACGGGATGTAATAAAATACTTATTTTTATAAAAAAAGAGGTAAGTATTTCGGTGCATAAAAATGCTATGTTAATTATTATTTACCAACAAGAAATTTCTTAAAATTAAACAGATATTTTATTTTACATTCAATATACTGAGCGTTTGGTCCATATTATAATTGAATCTTTACTTGCAGTTTCAGACAAAAATAGAGTCACTTATCGGCTGTGGCTGAATGGTTAGAGGTACTATTCCGGAGGACCTGGCATCAATCCCTACTTCGGACAGCATCTAAATTAGAAAAATTATTTTCTAACAGCGGTCGACCCTCGGTAGGTAATGGCAAACCTCCGAGTGTTTTCTGCTTGAAAAAGCTTCTCATAAAACCCATTTGCCGTTCGGAGGCGGCGTAAAACTTTAAGTACGTGCATTTATGTAACAACAAGGCGCACACCTCAAATCGCAGAAGAAGCTCGACCAAACACAAATATTATTATTATTATTGTTATAATTAAGGCAGCTTAAAAGTGGTTGAATAAGAGAAATATTTTTAGAGAAGCGAAAATAAAGTAAATATTAAGAACTCGATTTGAAAAGTTTGGTGAAAACTAGATTAGGCTTATACAAACGCACAATTTCTACAAAAGAACTTTATCCTGGATGTATAAGGATACTAGTTAGTCGCAGTACGCTTCACGGAACTTTTAGGAAACTTTTTCGTTTAACTTGCTTGCCTGCATGAAGTTGATAACTGTGATCTAAAAAAACTTAGTGGCCCAACGGTTGTAAGCTTTATGTTTCAACTGCCGCATTAAGATACACATCGGAAATTACCTAATTGACTATTTACGTACCTCCACATTTTTTTATACACGGCACTTATAAAAACGAAGCTGTTTTTTAGGCAATGGCTCTTTTGAATACAAGTGATGTGAAGTTAGATGAGAATAAAAAAAAACACAATAGCGTTAAAAATATTATAAATATGCATTTTGTAGGTCTATTTAATAACAAATTAATGAAGGGTGGTAGTGAATGGGTTTTAGAGAGTGTTTTCTGTTGTGTATTTATATAATATGCGTATGTACATACATATGTATACTCGTACTATTTGGTAAGCATACATATGTATACTTACGCGTAGGTTAGATTTATGTATGTATATTTTAGGCAAATAAAAAAATAATGTCATTGTTACCTTTATACATATGTATGTATATTTATTTACTATTTTATACCTTTTGTGTAATAAAAAAATTGTAACTACCTCTAATATAATATATATATGTATGTATATTCATTTAATATTATAATATGCCTAAAATTAAAAATTATTCTTGCAAGCAGCAAGTGCTTAATTTTGTATTTTTTGGGCTTAGTTGTTTTGTTTTTATTAATATGTACTCATAATTTTTTGTTTGTTATATCTAAATTGTAAATGTATATTTAATGCTAATATTTACTATACTTTTTGGTTTTGGTAAATTTTTGTTTCTGTTGTTTAGTTAATAATAGACAGCGTAGCATAGGAAGACGTCAATACCTGCATAAGACATTTTAGCCATTTTTCTTTATTTTTATGTATGTTTCGTTTTTATTTATTAATTATATATTTTGTCATGTACATACAGTTTTCATTAAAAACTTGACCTTGGTTGCGATTTGTTTGTGTTTTTATCTCATCTTAAATTTCATGATTTTTTCAAATCTTTCTTCTTAAATCATTAATAAGAAACAAACAAAAAATATTGTTAAAAGTATGCGGACTATTGAATAATGAATTTTAAGATTGGAGTCGCAATTTTCTTACTACCTTTTAATTTTATATATTTATTTTTGTGGAAACACAAGTAGATACATAATTGGTTTTTTGAGATTTGTTTGTTGTATGCTTGTGTGTATTAGTAAGTATAATTGGTTCTTAGTATTTTCGAATTTCGGGGGCATTTAACAACCTTTTAGTGTTCACATTATTTGTTTCGGAACAAAATTTTACTCTTCAGTTTATCTGCAGTTTACAATTATGATTTAAAAATATTTATTTTTATGTTCTTTTATCTTTTATTTGTTGTAAATATTTTTCGCAGGCTCATACAATTACATACTTATATATGTATATACATAAGAGTTCATGCTTGGTTTTTAGTTTTTTTTAGAAAGAAGCTTACTATTACGAAGTACCTAAATATAGTCATCTTTTAGGAAATCCTTTAATTTTCGTATGCCCTTCCACATACGTTTGTATCAACTCATTTGATTAGATATTTTTGTATTCATAATATTATTCATATTTGTTTGTAGACACTTAAAGCATTGAGACGATTTGGTTGCACTCAATAATGTATTCGCCTTGTACAGTACATACATACGTACATATATATTTATATGTAAACCCACGTGTATGCACATATATACTAGATGATACGTACATATGTAGATATGTTTTTGGTGTATGCATGCAGGAGTGTGTATCTTTGTTTGTAGGACAATTAAAGTTTTGCTGTACATCGTATTTAAATTGATTTTACCGATGACGTGATACATACATACACATATAATAACATTTCATTCCTACATTGATCTACACAAATTTTACATTTTACAGATTCGTACCTAACTATGTATGTATTTAATTTGTCTAAGTTTAATTATATTTACCTAAAATTCATAATCATAAATAGTAGGCAATCTAAAAAATAACAGAATATCGTCATGAAAAATATGTTTATAACAGATTTTTTCTCTAAACAATAATAACAGGCGTTAGCATCCCTAATTTATTTGTTTCACTCACACATATGTATGTCCATGTGTATATATTTATGTATATAATATTATATTATATATATGTAGTTATTTAAGTTGTTGTAATACATATATAGTAGATGCTTTGAATTAGATTTGTTTCACTTTGTTTTAAAGATTGATTGTATTTTTAAGCTTCTCGGGTTTTCTTACGATACTTTAAACTTTATTTGGTCGCTATACAAGAAAATTTTGCCTTGGACGCATCGAAAAACATGAATTTCTTCTTAAGGTTTTTTGTTTTTTTTTTTTATTTACAGTATATTATTTGTTCTATTTAATATGATTCCGAGTTTCTGATATATAATTTTAATTGTTCAGGGTTTAAGTTTCATCTAGTGCTTTAAATAGTTGGTTTTGTTATGCATTTTGGAAATTGTTTTTTAGCGGTACACATAGAAAAGCAGGTAAGCTTTAACACTATTTTTCAATATGTTCGACTATCGCACTGGAGTTTTTCATTTAAACTTTTATCCATTTGATACGCTAAAAGCATCTTTCTCTGCCGTATTAATAAACGCATACAAACGTGTAATAATTCGACTTTATAACTAAGAACTTTAACCAATTCATAAGCAAAACACTAAAAAATCTAAGCGAAAACTCAAGAAAAATGGCAGCAGATAACATACATAGCTGCCAAGGCAGTGCGGCTTGATAAGAGTTAAAAATAATATAAGTATTGTGTTTTTAATTTCATTAGCATTCGTACGTGCGTGGTCAAACCGCGTTCAGACGAAATACTTGACGGTGGTACCGAGGGGATCAGTACTTGGACAGTAGGAGCTTTAGTTGGAGTCCCACACTGAAATGTACAGGCTTTCGATGCTTCCTCCTAAAAAAAAACAGCTTAAAAGTGGAGGAAATGTTATTAGTTGCGTTCGCGTAGCTGTTAATTGTTCAAAGTTAACCAAAACTTTCAGGTTTTTGCGTTCGCGTACGTAAAAAACTTGCAAAGTAGGGCAAATTGAGAGAGCAAAGTGACATTTCATTTTGAAGGGAAGCTACTGGTTTCTGCTGGAAAAATTTTTGCCAACAGGAAAACAACTGATCAAAAACAGCTGGTAGGAATTTACGCAAATCACAAAATTGAACTTGAAGGTTTGGAAGTTAAAATGATAAAATGCGACTAATTAAACTTGTAAGAACTAAGTAGTTATTCGTTAAATCAATAAACTGTGTCAGGAAAACTTTTTGTGATGAGTTTTCGTACGTTTTAAATTTTACAATTTTGAATGTAAACAAAAATTCTATCAGCTGTTCGTCTAACTTGCAAGTTTCTGCAAATTTTCTGTTCGCGTACTATTTTGGATATATTTCTCCTGTGAGAGAGCAGATGACATTTTGCCGGAATTTTGTTGTTGGATGTTTTTTACCGGAGATTTTTAACGACAACTCCTGTAAACGATTCGTATGAGTTTTTCCAGGTGTTTCGTTTAGTATCTTCACAAGGGTTTGACCCGTTATATATGTGTGTATGTACATATGTATATACATGGTCAGAGGTAAGAACCATTTTTCATGCTAAAAATATGTTCAAGTTTTGATATTATTTATGCATGAACAACTCACCAATTCCTGTAAAATTTAATTTTTTGGAGACTATCGCTCTGTTCCGAAATTATAATTTATTTGTCTAAAAATGAGAATCATTCCGGTATACAAACATTGCGATTTGCAAATCTATTGTTCATTAAAAATATGTGGTATACCTAATTTTGTATTGCATCGGCCGCATGGGATTGTCCTAAATAAAACAGATGTATGCGTACCTATATGTCCTAACTCCATAAACGTCCACAATGTGATACATATGTAATGAAAAACTTTAAATATGCAGTTTTCAAATTTTGTAGAAAGAAATTTACATGTTGGGTATTAACACGGTGTGGCCTTACTAAATTTCCAACATTTTGTATCCACATAAATACGTGTGTATGGTGCTCTCCAACCCTATTCTGGTTCTTTAAATACAAACATATGTATATCAAATATACAAACTCTTAGAAACTCATATGAATTCTGTGGTGGGAATTTGCCACCAGCTTCGTGCTTTAAAAGTTGTCCTTATTAAAAAATTCCTTTTCTTTTACTGCCCTTTTTAACCATTTTACAGCTTTAATGATCTTCTTCTTTTTAATTTCACTCACAATTTCCATTTAACTAACTCCCAATCTTCATCAGTTTTTTTCTTTTTAATTACGCGCATCTCTGTCTTGTATAGTACATGCATTTATAGAAAATAAAAATTATTGTTTTATTTCGTCTTTCATGGTGAGTAAATAAGCAAAGCTCTCAAAATCTTCCCAGCTTAAAAATCTTCGTAGACGATAATATTTTCATGCACACCCACAAGTACACCTATACAACTACTTAAATACAAACACAAATTTAAACTTATACACATACAGTCGCAGGGCCCATCGCCTTTTGGGCGTTTGTCTCATTTCTTTTGTGCAATTAAATTTAAACTGTTCGTCCCTTACTAACATCGCTTTTCACATACATACATATGTATGTTCACTTTTAAAGTTTACAAAGTTTTTCAGTTAAAATTTCTGTTTCTTTCCTTTTCGGTACATTTTGTTTCTTTTCCCTTTTAGCTTTAACTATTTTGAATTTTATATATTTTTATATTTATTACACATACATATGTATGTATGTACTTCTCTTTCTGTTTTAATTTATACTTTTTACATACAGTCATTACTTTATTGTTTGTTTCCCGGCTATCCGGCACCACCCTGTCGTTTGCTCAACAACAACAAATGCGCAAGTACGTAAACAAATATTTCACCTGTTCTCTCTAACTTTTTACATTTCGCCGGTTCATTTTTATATCCAGTTTCCGTAACGTTGCCCCCTTTTTATTTCTAAGCATCTACTGTTTTGTTTTATTTGCTTGTGTTATAAAGTATGTGAAGAAAGGAATAGGGGTATTTTGCTAAAGGTACATATCAGCTGGGTTTAATTGTAGTTTCAACTACAGCGAACCAAGACTTTTGCTTTTACATTCGGTTGGTTGATCGGTGGGCCGAGACGGGGTTGCGCGGATAACCGAAGCCGGAGGCACCTACCGTCAGACTGCCGGTGCGTGGTAGCTTCCTTTTTTATCCTTCAGTATCTCAACATCTGCAACAGAGCTACCTGCAAAATCAGTGAAGCCCACGTGTAGCTGCTTCCCAATGTGAGGCTGATGGTTGGCCGGCCCGCTGCAGCCGTCTCCGCGGTGTGTGAGGCGCCATTGCCTAACGCTGCCATACCTATGCTGGGGACTGCTGTTGTTGTCGACGATGTTTCCGCTCGTATGAGTTCAACTGCAGAAAGTAGACGGGAAAGAATAGGTTGGCGTATGAGTGGTTGAGGCGGAGAGAACACAAACGACCGCGGCACATGGAATAGAAAGAATAATAATAAATTTTGAGTTAAAATTCGACTGCATAAAAAGTACAATGTATTCTGCGCCTTTCACCGTCTCATTGCTAACAGCGAGCAATGCTGGTGCTGAAATATTTTGCCAAAGCATTAGATTGACATTTAGTGTAAAGGTAAATTGATGAAATTAATTGGGCACAGCAAAGAGACTTAAGCCAAGCCGGCAGACAGCAAGGCATACATAAAAGTTAAATGCACATACATATATATCGATGTACTCTGGAATAACGGCACAAATCAAAATGAAAAATGAAACCTAACCCCTGCGCTGGTTAAGTGTCTAATATCTCTAATCTTTGCTTAATCGATATCGTATCTTTTTTAAAGTAAGTAGTAAAGATTATTACAAGGATTAGAGACATGACACACTTAAAAGTAGTACTTAAGGTTTATTTTTTTATTTTTGAGTTACATACAGTTATATACAGGGTTACCGGAGAAGTCGGCCTAAATACTTAAGAAGAATATTATTTAGGTAATTTCTGACTACTTTGGTTACATGACATGATGTTCAAAACTTAACCGTTTTCGAGATATTCGATTGTCAACCTTATTTTTTTTTGCCTGGACGTTCACTTTTTTACATATTAGCTCAAGGGTCCGATTTTACTGTTCTTAGTTAAAGAGTATGTCCTATAATAAAAATCATTAACAAAACTTGCTGGAATACTTCTTCTGAAGTGAGCTGGGCAGTCATGATGTTGGAAACCGTATTTTGTCTAACAGCAAGAGGAAATTCAAAATGGCGGATCCAAAATGGCGACCAACTTTAGAAAAAATTGAAACTCTTAACCGTCATGTTGAATTTTGAAAATCTGACATCAGATTCGCAATCAGCAACCCCAGAAACACACTGGAAACGTGTTTTAACCCTTGACAATGTTTAATATGTTCAGTACCAACGTTTTAATTTTAGTACTTTTTTTAATTTGGTCGCCATATTGGATCCGCCACTTTGAATTTAAAGAAATTGACTTCATATTCGTAATCGGCGACCACAAAAACTCTCAAGCGCCGGGTTTCGAACAAATCCAATAAAATGGACCGCCATTCTGAATTTCGAAAAACTGACTTCAGATCCCTAATTAGCAGCCCCAGAAACCCCCTGGTAACAAGTTCCAACCCATGACAATGCGTAAATCGTTCAGTATCAACGTTCTAATTTTACTAGTGTCTTTTCGAGGCCATATTTTCGGGAACTAGACCCATTCTTATTGTCCAAGACAGGTTTGTAATTAAGGGAAAGTTCACCAATAATACCAGACTAGTTATATGTAAAAAACAAATTTTTAGCTGCATTTTAACATGTCAAGAAAATAAAAAAAAATTTAGAACATCAGCGCTTTTATAAAAAAACCGACCAGCGCGACATCTAAGAAAACTTTTTTTTCAAAATATGAATTATTATGAATTTCCAAAAAGAGTGTTTTTATGAACCACTCTAAGCAAGAGGCACGTAATCTCTTCAAATTTTCGAGGTTCTCGCCATTCATGCATGCGACGTTATCCTCATCTATTGGATGATGTTATAGCCAGTGTTGCCGTTTTAGCCCTTTGGTGGCTAAAATTAGCTACCGCATACTTTTTTTGGCCACATAAATTTAAAATTTCCACTAGCCCTTTTTAGACTTTATTCATACTTGGCATGAAAACGTTGTACATATATGCTTAATTTGTTTTTTTTTTGCAGTCATGTAAGAGATGAATTTTTAAACTAAGAAAGACTGATATATATGCATATATGTATCGTATGCTCCTTACGCTTTCATCCAGACATACTGTAAAAGTGTGGGGCTGTTAACTTATCTGTTAACGACTTAACTATAGTTTAAAATAGATAAGTTCACGGCCCTTAATATGCCAAATTTGTTAAACGACCCATCAAGTCGATTGACCGTGTATGTTCTTGTGCTGTGATTATACCAGCATACTGGTGTCGTGAGTGGTGAAATTAGCTCAATTTTCTAAGTAAAAAGTATTTTGGCGGAAATTTCTTGCCCTATCTCAAAGCCGTGTTTGTGGAAGATTACGTTCACGATACTGCAGTTGTGCTCTAATCATTTCGATCTTTCCTCAACCTCATTTTTAAAGAAATAAGTATTGTACCAGCATGCTGGTAAGTTATATATATAGTTCGAGCCTGATGGTACAATCACTTGATGGAACCACCAAGCTGGTGTCGTATATTTCCCCTTTTATATAAAAAGGTTTTTGGTTGGATAAAATATTAGCTTTTTTCCACACTTCATTGTTTTTATATGCCATTACTTATTGAAAATGTTTACGTATATACTTATATATGTATATGTAAGTAAAAAATTTTAGCTACCATTTTTAGCCACAACGATTTTTTAGCTCTTTTTTAGCCCTTTTATTAAAGGATTTTTGGCTACCACTAAAAATTATGCGCGGCAACACTGGTTATAGCGTCTTTGATGGAACTTACCGAAGACTACGAGGAACTGATTCTGTTCGTCCGAACTACCATAATGTGCACTATTACGCTCCGAAAGACTAATGGCCTTATTCATAAAAAATAAAGTAGGTTTAAAGAGCTTTATAAAGTGACGTTTTCACACATTTTTCAATTTGTAAACCTTTTTTAAAGCTACTTTATTTTTTCTGAATATGGCTGTAAGGCTACCCAAATAAAAAGATAACGAGAGAGCACAGAGAATATTTAGCGTGAATGTGAGGATAGGAATACTTTCTAATTTTTGTATTAGGCTATTGTTTTTGCCTGATTGGCTGAATGGCGAGGAGAAGTTTTTTTATGAACAATTTACTCGAATGAATAGAAGACGTACCTCTTGCTGTAAGGAAAAACATGCATTTCCAACATGATGACTGCCCAACTCACTTCAGGAATGGCTGGGAATAGGTGAACCAATACCATGACTGGCGAGGAGCCCAGACTTAACGTCGATGGATTTTCACTTTTGGATTTTTTGTGGATGTCCTAAAACTGGAGATGTGCGGCCGTTTTTCTGTTATCCGACTACCCGGACGGATATTGGCTAAAATCCGGATTTCGAGTATAGAAGATCCAATTTAAAAAACCCAGGCTAAAATTTTTGTTGTGTTCTTAAAATCAAATTCAATAGTATTTAATTAGTAATTAAAGTTAAGAAATTTATATTTTTCATTATGAAAAGAAGCATCTCCGCATATAAATGCTACCCGATAGACTAAACACTCTTTTCGAGTTTACTGGGGAAGGTGGTGCGCAGAGACATTTCATTGCCAGTGTAAAAAAATTTTGAAATTCTTTGCGACTATGCTTCCACCAAATTAAAGGATCTTCTAGTCACAATTTGATACGTTTATTTCAATTGTTATTTTTGTTCAATTTTACCCCAATCAAATTAAACGTTTACAATTTTGCGTGCACAAATACAAATGCTGAGGAGAAAAAAGGTGAAAAAGCAATACATGACACGAAGAGTAATCGTTTTTAAGTTTCTAGGTAAGTCAAGTCAAGCCTAAGTCTTGCATACACCAGCTTTGAAGCTTCGCCAGGGCAGAAGGTTGCCCTGAAAATCAGATGGCTGCTTAAAACGTCAATATTATGAAGTAAGTGAGCTGGACAAGAACTGAAAGCAAAAACATGCCCTTTGGAGGGTTGAGTGTAACATCAAACAAATTTTGCACCGGGAAGGGCAAAATATTTTGGAAGCAACGAAATCACCTCACACACTCCTTGATTTACCGGCAAACCAGTTGGTCAAATACTAGAAGTTGGTTGTAAATAAGCCGTATGTAGGCAAGTTGGTCAACCTTGAGCAAATGAAAACTGTTTACCCAAAACTTTACGAACTTTCGAAAAAATACTGTAATTTAGTTGGTACCTCGGTGCCTGCTGAGTGTCTTTTTTCAAAAGGCGGAGCTAAAGCCATCAAGAAACACAACCGCTCAACAACAAAACGCTCATCAAGACTTTTTTTATTGGAAAAATAGTTACATAATAAACAATTATCGGCGCTAAAAAGAATGGTTTTATTTTATTTAAGGCTTAATTAACAAGAGAAGTAGAAGTTCTTCATGGAAAAATGTTTTGGTGAATACTCACTGTAAAAAATGCCTTAAAAAGTTCGATTAATCGATTATTTTTTAATAATTTCAATTAACTGCAATCATTTGTTTTGGCTTCTGATTAATCATATAAGTAATTAATCGATTATTTTATTTTCTTGCCATCCCAGCATATGAGAAAATCTGGCGAGTTGTTTTTTTAATGTCACTCCATTCTTTCGGCAGAAAAAAAACGCTAAAGCATTCTTATTGCATTTATTTCAATCAATGGAGTTCGAGAAATAAGTACAACAAAAATAAATCAAGTGTTTGAACAATTTTAGCCTTAAAAAGTTTATTTAGGCGAAAAAGTACCGAAATTACACACGTTTTCATTGATTTGATTTGATTTATTTGATACTTAATCCTAGCACAACAATTCAATGAATTATTTAATAGTGCTAGTCACAGAATTATAAATAAATAAAGCTAAGGACAAAGGATAAGTTTTGTGATATTGAAATTACAAAATTTGTTTAGTATGGAACATAAATAATTTTGAATTAAACTCTAAAAATAACAATATTTTACTTAACCAATATAAAAGAACATACATCTACATGTAACTACTTAGTAGTATAGAAATTGGTTAATTCTTTTTTGAAACACAGTTCATTATTTAATTGTCTTAATCTAGTGGGAAGAGAGTTCCAAAGAGGTATAGAGTGTATGAAAAACTGTCGTTCAGACACACGAGTTCGATATTTGATGTGCACTATAAGTGTTAGGGACACGATATCGAACCGAAAGTATCGCTATGGTATTCATTTAAAGCATCGCTTAAAAATATCGGGTACAAATTAATATCGGA